CCATCCTCATATATTCCCATACATGAAGTGTTCATTACACAGAAGCCATCCTCATATATTCCCATACATGAAGTGTTCATTACACAGAAGCCATCCTCATATATTCCCATACATGAAGTGTTCATTACACAGAAGCCATCCTCATATATTCCCATACATGAAGTGTTCATTACACAGAAGCCATCCCTCATATAATCCCATACATGAAGTGTTCATTACACAGAAACCATCCTCATATATTCCCATACATGAAGTGTTCATTACACAGAAACCATCCTCATATATTCCCATACATGAAGTGTTCATTACACAGAAGCCATCCTCATATATTCCCATACAAGAAGTTTTCACTTTCCTAAACCCGTGTAAAACGTTGTTAATTGCATTTGCAATAACCTCTGTTGGCTATCGCTTTTTAATTGAAGTCCACTAATACCATTCACTTTCGCATTGATTTCCCATATTTAGTAACAGAGTTCCCAGTAAGTTTTGCATATAACTACTAATCGCGCAAATCTTTGGACAGCCTGTGGTGTCCTTAATATGTACTTTGTGTGCATTACTTGTATAACATTTTACATCTATATTGCAAGGGCTGACTTGCTTTGGTTAACTGTGCTCTGAATGAAATGAGTAGATTGGCGTACTGTGAAATGCGCCTGGAACATTGTCTACATATGAAATTACGTAAGCTGATTACTTCCATTTCTTAAACTGTATCCTATTTAACCACGCGGGTTCTTTGATCCTCTGTGTACAATTGTCTCATAAAGCCTGTTCGTCTTTCAACTTAAACCAAATAAATTGATTCGAACAGTGTTCTACTCGCCACAGCAATGCTACGACGTGACTACATGACTTATCTTGGTGAACCATACAGTAAGAGTCATTAACTGTTTGTAATAATAAAACTTCTGCTTTCAAAATAAAGTAACTTTCTCCAACTTTATAGTACAAGTTTATTACTGTATACTAACTACGCAAAAATTTTATGTTAGTTAAAAAAAACTAATCATACACATTGTGCTATAAAATGTAAACTGAATTATCATACGTCAAGTCGTAAATATTCAGCTGAGATTTAAGTATCTATACAAATATTATTATGTACGAATTTGAATGCATTATGTATTGCCATTCGAGTTGTACAAAAAAAAACTTCTAAAGGTAATGAAATAAGAAAAAAATTGGTGAAAATACTTACGTTTAATATCCTCGAAAAAAGGCCGAAAGCCGCCTGGAGGGGGTCACCTGTTTTAACCACTCATACTATTATACAGTAGTATGTACTCTGTCAGTCAGTCAGTAGACACTAAAATGGGGTCACATAAGGTACGCTTAACGTTGCAATTTGTACTGCCGTGACGTCAGTAAAACGTGCGCATGCCATGAATCACGAAAAGAATTATACACTCTGTAGGCTACAACACAGCATGACATATGAACTTCAAAATCAAGAAATAAAAATATTTCTTAATATTGGTTTTATTACTCTTGAAACAGAACAATTTCGAGGACCCTGCGGAAGTTTGTTTTTAATTTAACAGAATTTCAAAGGCCTGTAAAGGTATATAAAATCTAACATAAAGAGAAGTGTACCAAATCTGACATTCTGTGATCCAGTATATTAGTGATAGAATATGTGAAGATTTTAAAATATATTTTATTATTTCCAAAAACGTCCCTCGTGTTGTGTTAAAATTAATAGCTCATAAAATACCACTTGAAGAGAAGCACAACCAAAACGCGTGCACGTTTAATCCCGTATTTAAAGCATGTGTGTAGAGAAAGATGCAGGCATTCTACCTTGAAATAACTCCATTCTTAAGCAAAATTATTACAATTTGAATCTTTCAATGAGTTGAAACACTTACCTTCTTGCCGTCTAGTTCGTGTGGGCCCGTAGATAAGACTTTATCTACGCAATCTGGGTCTGCAAAAGTGATAAACCCAAAGCCACTGAAAAAAAAAAAAGATTAAATCTTAGATCAGTTTTTACATACAGTTGTAACTTAAAATTTGTTACACTATCCCCAAATTATCTCTGTTTCTGATAAAAATTTTGTTCTCCTTGAGGATCTGCAGCGTACTCCCAAAAAACACGTTTATACAAATACATGAAAAGAAACTAGATACGTTGATTTAATTACCACTCTTTGTGAAAAACCGCGAAGACATCAAATAACTGCATCTCCTTATTCTTTAACAAACACTGGGGTAGTTCCCACGCAACCTAAAATAATGGCTTTTGGCCTGCCTTGACGAAAGTCATACGTCCTTATTATCTGCGATAATACAAGTTTAGATCCTTAGATCTGCTATAATAAAAGTTTAAATCATTATATCTGCGCCTATAGAATTTTAGACAGGTTAATATTACTTAAGAAAAGCACATGGAAGGACAATGATTTCTCTTTTTATTTATATAGAAAAGAGCCTGTGAGAAAATACTCGTGTTACAATTGAAGCGAAAACAGCTGTTTCTTCTATTGTATATATCAGATTCTGAAACCAAAGTTAATATCACTCCTCTTATCTCTTAAACAGTATACCTCAAACACCTTTCCGAGTTTGCTAGTACACACACACATATAAATACAAACAGAAACAGTACACACTCAGGAGAGAGACTGTTTTCATTACAAGTAAAGGAAAGGGGTAACGTCCAAGTTTCATGTTTATTATGTGGCACCAGAATGTTTGCATATTTTTATCTAAGAATCTGTGGCGATAATTACACTAAACAGGAAGCTTATGACTAACCGCTTTAAAAGATACCAGTAAACATCTAGAATAAATGGTTTTATGGCTACAAGCCTCAGAAACTGCACACATTCTAGGATAACTAAAGCTTTAAATCTCACGATAGATACAGGTTTGGGGATTTCTAGAGCTCTAAAGCTCAAACCACACGTACATCAGTATTACCTTGTTCTCAACATAAGGATCTATACCCACGTTCTAATTCCAAGTATTCTAAATCTGAAATTTTATACACATTCAGGATTCTTAAGTTACAGAAAGTGAATTACTTTAGAATTTCAGAAACTATATGCGTTTTGTAATTTCTAAACCTCAGAAGCTAGACAGGTTCTAGGATTTCTATGACTAAGCTTCAGAAGTTACACCTTTCCTAAATGTTAGGAGCTACATGTGTTGTAAGATTTTTAAAGTTTTAAAACTCAGAAGCAATAAACATTATACAGGTTCCGCTGTTGCTCAGCGATAATTTTAGAACTTATAATTCTAGAACTTTGGGTTCGATCTCCTCAAAAGACGCGGTACAAAGAGTCCGTTTTTAGCTTTGCGTTTAAGAAAACAACAAAAACACGTTAAAGGATTCTTAAATCTCTAAATCACAAGTACTACATATGCTTTGGAATGTCAAGAGCTCTAAACGTTAGAAAGTACACACGTTCTAGGATTCCTAAAACTTCATAATATAATCGTGTTTTCAAACTTCATAAACAATATATATATACTAGGATTCCCAGCTCTAAATCATCATAAACAATATACGTTCTAAGGTTCTCAGTTACAGAAATTACACACATTCTAGTAGACACTGAGTTTTAAATTTTGGACAAACTCATGCTCTCGGATTGTTATGGTACTAAACTTCAGGAACCACACATCTTCTATGGTTGTTAGGGTAGTAAACTTCAGGAACTACAAACCTTCTCGGAATGGTATGGTACTAAACTTCAGGAATTATACACCTCGGGTTGTTAGGGTAGTAATCTTCAGGAACTACAAACCTTCTCGGAATGTTAGGGTACTAAACTTCAGGAATTATACACCTTCTCGGAATGTTAGGGTACTAAACTTCAGGAATTATACACCTTCTCGGAATGTTAGGGTACTAAACTTCGGGGACTATACATCTTCTCGGGTTGTTAGGGTACTAAACTTCAGGAAGTATACAACTACTCAGAATGTTAGGGTACTAAACTTCAGGAAGTATACACCTTCTCGGATTGTTAGGGTACTAAACTTCGGGGACTATACATCTTCTAGAACTGTTAGTGTAGTAAACTTCAGGAACTACACACCTTCTCGGATTGTAGTGTAGTTCCTTCAGGAAGCACACACCTTCTCGGATTGTTAGAAAACTTAATTTCAAGAACTACACACCTTCTAGAATTGTTAGGGTAGTAAACTTCAGGAACTACACACCTTCTCAGATTATTAGAGTACTAAACTTACGCAACTAAGCACGTTTAGGATTCTTAGGATCCAAACTTTGTAAACTACGCGCGTTATCTTATCAAAGGGCACTAAAAACACATATTCAACTTCTTGTTGTTATTGTTGTTGTTTTTTCGGCATCACAAAAACGATTTTCCTGGAATTACGTTACCCATGTTAATATGTTTAGTTGCATTTCGTTCACTTCCAGGCAGAAGATGCTATACTTTGACTTTGGGGAACAAATCCTCAGATGAATGTGCCTTTACAAGTAAAGTCTCTAGCAGCATCTCCTCGCGGGTATATCATGGTTCTCACTATAGAAATCAAGAAACAGTTTATTCACGCGGATGAACACAGCAGAGACTTCGATCCGCTCTTGCAGTAGAATACTCGTACTTCTTGCTAGCCTAGTCGATTACTTACTTTTTTCCGGCTATGTGAAGAGCTTTATGAAAGTTTGTGTTCCCTACAACGTAACCATTAATTACATATACACCGTTGTTTGCTCTGTCTTACATAACACTGAACACTTAGTTTGTTCTTATACACCACCATGGATGCTGTAAGAACATTCTTATTTAAAATTAGATGTTGTTATAACACTTTTATTAAACACTGGATGTTGTTAGAATACCCTTATTAAACACTGGTTGTTGCTAGAGCACATTTTAAATATTGAATGTTGCTAGAATACTCTTATTTAGCGTTGGGTGTTGCTAAAGCACTCTTATTTAGCGCTGGATGTTGCTAGAGCACTCTAATTAAACACCGGATGTTGCTAGAATACTCTTATTTAGCGATGGGTGTTGCTAGAGCACTCTAATTAAACACTGGATATTTCTAAAGTACTCATTAAACACTGGATGTTGCTAGAACACTTATTAAATTTTGGATGTTGCTAGAGTAGTCTTATTCGACCGCAGTAAATCTTTTGAATTAAAATGGACTGTTAGCAGTAAGATAATTTTCTGTAAAGCTTGAGCATTAGTTGAATATTTAAAAATTAAAGGTATACGTACCGAGACCTTCTCGTTGATGGGTCCGTCATCACCATTACTTCGGTGATGTCCCCGTACTTCCCAAAGTACTCTCTGAGAGTCTCTGGTGAAATAGAAAGCGAAATATATAATTAAACATTCTGGATAATTTAGTTAGATTCTTTGAGAAAACAAATTCATAAGTAAAAATGTTGTTCTACTTTTGAAGTTCCACAGTACTGCATGATCCAGTTAATTTAAGGTTAAACACAGAGCTTAAGTTGATGACTATTCGTGAAAGAATTTTTAACAAAATACGAGAATAAAAACTGTTGAACAAAAGTAGTTTCGTGACCGCTATTGTATCACGACGCATTCTTTGAAGACGAATGACTTCCTACTTCCCTGATGCTCTTAGAATTGTGTAAATTATAACCAACCGTCTTCATCAAGACGCTAAGAAGAAAGGTAAGTCTTCTTTGCCATTCTGCAACAGCTTATTCAAGGGTCAAATGTCTGCTTTCTCAGTTTCATAATGTCTGTTTATGAATATTTGCGGCTGAAAAACGTTTTTAATCACACATACGAAAATCATAAATGAAAATAAACTTGTTTTTTAATATAAAAAACAGCCACATATGTTCATGTGGTTCTTTTACGAAATATGTGATTTAAAATTCGTTACCTTTTCGGAAAACATTTTTCAAATTGCATAACGTAGCATTTATCAGTTATTCTCAATGAAAAATCCGCTGAAACTATTTCATTGTTATGGGAAAAAACACACACGTTGATATTAATTTCATTGTATAAAGGAACACGCTGGGACCAACTTAATGTTACTGAGAATGATGTTTAAACTAATCTCTTTCACTGAAAAACAGATTGAAAACTATTTTCTACAAATTTTGTTCCATTTCATCCAAAACACAACTTCTGTATTTGAATCAAATGTTTAATTCTAAATTGAAAAAAAAAACTATAGGGAACGGTATTACATAAGTCTGATGGTATTATCTGGTTACTGATAAAATAAAACGTGAATTACCCTAGTAATACATTCATACGCAAATGGTTCTTCATGTGGTTTAAAAACCTTAAGTACATAAAAAAAAACCTAACCAAATAAATGGCTACTTGGGAAACATAGTAACTCCCCAGTGTGCTCTTTTATAGCAATTTTCCTTTTTTTATACACGCGGAAAGTCAGTGATGTAAAAAATCTTCCAATACAAGATGCTATCACAATGAAACAAAACTGCACGTGATGTGGACGTGTTTTTAAGAGGAGTTGAATAGTATGAAATTGGAGTTCGTGGAAAAACCAGCAGATGTACTACGAAACCCAGACATTCAATAAATCTATAACACCAGAAAGTTTAGTTTTTCGTATTAATGTGTTTAATAACGTTTGTCATATCATTTCTTCATAATAATTGTATTTATAGCTTCAATACTCTCTTAGTCGCATTTTATATTTGTATGTGATGCAAGGTCATAGGATAAATACGATTAAACAAAAGATAAAATTACTTAATAAACATAATTAAAAACTCAAACAATAGATGGCAGTGTTCATTTGTTTATCTTCAAGTTTCAGGCCTAAGGTCTTCCTCAGAATATATTTAGTAGGTTGTAAAATCTAAGCTTTAAAAATATTCTTTTTTTTCTCTATTTTAACTGTAATTGTAACACTAACATCGAAATTCTTATTACAAAGTTGCAAAAACTGTTATATAAACCGAGTATCATCTTGTAGCTTTGATAGAAAGACTCTCACTCTCAGGCGAAACAAGATGACTTGCAATGTATTTCGATTATAGAAAATCATTGAAACTTACAAATCAAATTCATATATATCACTATACGGTTGTGTGTATTAATTTTACGAACCGTTTACGTATACATTATAACTTATATTTTGGATATGAGTATTTCAAATGCGAGACTAAACTAATCGTGGGAGAAAAGATTGAAGAGCTCACCTGGTGCTGTTTGCCAGCTTAAACCTCCAATAAACATTTTTCTGAAAGAGAAAAAGAAGGAGAAGATTACACATGGTTTGCTAGTAAGATCAGTGCTGATACTTCACAAAGCTCCTGGACAAAGTTCGAGACCATCACGAATGAATTGTTGTACTGTTAACGAGACCTACCCAAAGTTGTTGTGGGATCCGGTAAGATTGCCCGAATTCGTCTGTAAGGAGTCGGTTTCCATCATTCTAGAATATGTACACTACACTTAACTTTCTACTCCCGCTAACCCAGCACGTGGAAAACTAACTAAGGACCTTCAGTTTGTGCGATACTACTAGACTATTGTGGGTGGCGCCACATCTCGCTCGCGTCAGACAGGAGAGCCATTTTGATTGATAGAAAATCACACGAATTCATTGGTTGGTTGACTGACGCAAGCGTTACGATTTACTTTCACTGACGTCATCGTATGATGTTCAATTTATTTGCACCGCCTCACTCTCAATATATTATCTCTGCACTGCTGCCCCCAGGTGCCCTAGATCATAACTATAATCGAAGACCAGCGTATGATAAGTTGCCAAACTAAATAATGGTGCAGTTTTATCAAAGGGGGTTAGATATAAAAGTACTTCTGCAGTCAGTAGTTCAGATAACTACTAGATTTTTTTAACTTCGTAAGATGTATTTAAGTGTGTAATATAAATTTTTTATTATGTTGTTTTCTTAATACACTTTTGGGTTTTCTGGGATTTTTCGTTGATTATATTTAGCCGCAGCATAGCGGCTCATAAAATGACTCTGAGTTTGTTTTGTTTTTTCAAGTACAAACTTTTAGCTCATACTCCATCATCTCATGACCGATTGAAAATCTAATTATAGTTTTGGACTCAGGAGTTCAAACCCTTTCGATTGATGAATCTAACCACGCCCAAACACTCATAGATATGTTTATTCTAATCCTGCCTAAAAGAATTTCAATTTGAGAGTAGGCTGGTAGAGATCCTGATGAGTAATAAAATCGAATATGGTATATGAGCGCCTCACGCTTGGTATTGCTGGCGCACAAAAATATAGCTTAAAAAAACGTCTTATAGATTAATTTACTTTATTCCTGTTGTTGATTTTTAGTTTAAAGCTACACAATGATGGGGTAACTGCACTATAGCCACCAGTGGGAATCGAACCCTACAGTTTAGCATTGTAAGTCCGTAATTTTACCGCTGACCCACCGGGGAACACTTATCCTTTATTTTTAGTTTCGACCTCCTAACACATAATATGCCTTTTTTCATCTTTCTACGCTGCCGTTCTTTAATCTTTTATATCTTGTAAACAAAATTGAGGATTTAACCTTAGCATCAGAAAGTCAGAGTTAAACTTTCTCCTGGGTTCCAGGGCATACACCTTACTGTACTGAAAGACTATGCATAAGAAAACTGTTTCTTTCGGGCATAAAATCTGTCCACTATGTTAATAAGCCAAGCAACATGTGCAAATCATGTGGTAAGAGAATTGAGCGAAATATCAAACAGAATACTGAAGTCAGAAAAGTCCATAATACTGTCAGTGGGGGAGTAGATTTGTACTTAGTTAAATAGTAAGACTTAACTCATTCAGTTCGCTTCTTTAGATATGAAACTCCCCCCTCTTGTTTGAAAGTTCTTGAAACAAGCCTTGGACGTACAAGGAACAGTGTGCTTAAGAATATCCAAACATTAAAAGTAGTTGAAATAAAGTGGACAACAACGACAAACAGACTACTGTTGTGAGTTAATAGTAACGTTTATAAAACGTTTCTGTATTTGCTATTAAGCACAAAGCTACACAATGGAGTATATCTGGGCTTATACAAAAAGCTACAAATTAATAAATGTAGTTTAATCATCACAATATTTATATAATTGTGCAGCACTTAGAGACTTTAAAGCTATATATTTTTCTCCTTGTGACCTGTCTATAAATTTGTTTAAGGATTATCAAGTCATTGAATTTTTTTACAGTATACGTTGTTGAAAATAATTTTTTTGAGGTTGTAAAATTTGATAATATTGTTGTGATGATCGAACAAAAGGAAGCATATTACAGTGTGAAAGCAAGCCAACTTTACTTACATAATACCAGTTTCGCAGAAGTTTGTCATATACTGTTCAAAAGAAGCACGGAAAAGAAGTCTTACCAAGACGTAAACAGTGTATAAACTCGTCCTAAATTCGGATACAGTGCAATGATACCACCCTGAATGACGGAGTAGGGTGCAACGATACCACCTCGAAGCACGGAACAGGGTGCAACGATACCATCCCGAAGCACGAACTAGGGTGCAACAATATCACCTTGAAGCACGGAGTAGAGTGCAACGATATCACCCTGAAGCAGAGTAGGGTGCAACGATACCACCTCGAAGCACGGAACGTTCAGTGCTTCAGGATGGTATCGTTGCACCCTAGGGTGCAATGATACCATCCCGAAGCACGGACTAGGGTGCAACAATATCACCCTGAAGCAGGGAGTAGGGTGCAACAAAAACTCATATGTACTTTCGTCATATAAAAGCTAAACATTATTTCCGTAAATAGCGGCTTTTCAAGGTTTTTATTAATCCCGTTAGAAATTAAAGAGAGATAAACAATAAACAGGTGTAACTGTAAAATGGTGAGATATAGTAATATATTTAAAGAAGAACTACTTTGTGTCTGCCTATCTCACAGTATATGTCTATGTATATCTGTAGTGTATGTATGTATTTATCTATATGTGTAGATCTCTATTTGTATTCGTCTGTCTTTATTATATCTGTCCATCTTGGTATTCATAGCTGTCTATTCAGTATTAAGACTGTTTACATCTTGTTCTTTGAGTCAATATTTGTTGTTTTTGTCCATGTCCGTGAGAAACGTGTGTTTGAAAAATCTGTTACATTTCAGTTACTCCACCACAATAAAAATTCCGTCCTACCATTGATGAGGTCGCCTGCACACATGTTTGTAGACGTAGAGGGTTTTCCGTTAGAATCTCGCTACCACGTTCCAACTGCTAACGGAAGAAATATAATAATGGATCCTCCAAAGAATGTAGTTGATTTATGCCCATATCTCACCACCCCACGAGTTGGTAAAACGGGAAGGGGGGGTGTTACTTTCAAAGATTTATCTGTTAGAAGGGGGTCATCTGCTTTCTTTTCTTTTCCCACGAGCTCCTTGTTGCGGGTCTGTAGTGGATGTTACTGATACAACTACTTAACTCGCTGAGATCGTTTATTCTAACTTCTACGTTTAATTTATTTGAGCGCTTGTTGTCTTAATATTAATGGCTTCATAAAACATCCTTTACAGAAATGCGGTGTACATTTAAACTGTAATTGTGTGCTCGTTAGCTAAGCTATTTTACTGTAAGAACTTAAGAAGGGTCGGTGGAATTCACAATCAACCATAATCTCTCTACCTAACAGATCGACAATTCAGAGTTCATGCAGTCAGCTTCAGCTGTCTGTCTTTCCTTTATTGGCCATAATAAATTAAAGATACTTTACTGATTTCAAAATGTATACATTTTCCTCAACAATAAATTACTAGAAGTGTTAATAATTCAAATACACTAGTTTCTACCTAGCCAACCCGGGCGCTTGAAGTTTTAATATAACTTGCATATATAGTTTGATTTTGTTTGTTTGTTGAATTTCGAGCAAAGGTACTCAAGAGCTATCTACGCTAGCTCTCCCTAATTTAGAGGTGATAGACTAGAGGGAAAATAGCTTGTCAACGCCGCCAACTCTTGGAATACTCCTTATCAACGAATAGTGAGAGTGACTGTCACATTATAACGCCCCCACGGCTGAAAAAACGAGCATGTTCGGTGGTGAGATTCGCACGCGCGCCCCACAGTTTGAAAGTTGAGTGTGTCCTAACCATCAGGTCATATCAGAATCCATCACTTAAGTAATTCGTCGAGGTCCAAGGCTATAAATATATCCGTCGGATGAATAACAATAATGCAAAATTAATGCATTTTACTATTTTATTGACAGAATGTTTTTCTACAGCCTCATTGCAGCTCTACAATGCTGACGTAGCTCCACTTGGTTATAATTTGACAAATACTTGCTATATGACGAAGCTTCTTTTACCGTATCCTCCCTCTGCTGCCATTTTATGTTCAGAATTGCATCAGTTTCTATGTTGTTTTTGTTGTTTTGTGAAACTAAAAGTAAATTTTTATAATAGCTAGATGCCCCCCCCCCCTCTCTCGTTTAGTACATATATATTTTGTAACTTTGTTCGCAAACCTCAACTAATCCTTATTTCACGGCTTTAAATTCTTTCTGAAGGAAAGGGGACCGCTAAAAAGTTCCGTAACACCACGGAAAGCATAAGTAGTTGGTGAAAATCTTTCAACACATGATAGTAACAATATATATTAACAGTGTATAGAAAGTCACGCGATTAAAAAACCCATCACACGTGATGAAACTATTCGCATAATCACTTTCGACTTTTCATTATTTCGAAGTCTCTGAACAACAAAGGCAGGAAATTATTACATGCCGTAAACGGACCACTTTCCATTTCGGAAAAACACTACTCATCACTATATCCTTTCTTAATAGAAGTAGTACTAACTACTGTACCCTTTTATAATAGAAGCAGTACTAACTGCTGTACCCTTTTGTAGTAGAAGCAGTACTAACTACTGTACCTTTCGTAATAGAAGCAGTACTAACCATTGTACCCTTCGTAATAGAAGTAGCGCTAACCATTGTACCTTTTCGGAATAAAGGTAGTACTAAACTACTGTACTCTTCGTAATAGAAGCCGTACTAACCATTGTACCCTTTTGTGATAGAAGCAATACTAACCATTAAACATTTTCGTAATTTGAAGCAGTATTAACTAATGTGCCATTTTGTAATAGAAGCAGTACTAAATAACGTGCCCTTCATAATAGAATCAGAGATAACCACATACCCGGCCCTAAGCAAATTTCTGGCCTGTGCGAAATTAATATTCGGTACCCCTGCCCCTGTAAAATTGACAAGAACTTTTAATTGCAATGTAGATTTTGGCGTCCCTTGGGGTAAGCGCCCTGTGCAGGGTCACACGTTGCCCATCCCAAAAGTCGACCCTGACTAACCACTGTATCCTTTCGCAATAGAGGCTGTAATGAACATTACAGCCTTCTGCAATAAAGACAGTATTGATCACTATATCCTCTTTCAATAGAGACAATACCACTTTACCCTTTTACAATAGAGGCAGTACATACCACTTTACCGTTTTACGATAGAGGCAGTACATACCACTTTACCCTTTTACAATAGAGGCAGTACATA